TTTCATGCCGGGATGTCAGGCCCCAAAAGAGGAAGACCGCAGACACACTACACACAACATTCAGCTGCTGCTGTGGACATTTGATGGATCATACTACTGTTGACGGGTGCGGGTGGGAGGGTTCCTGGGGGGGTCCTGGGGGGGGGTCTTTGGTTGACATGGTGCTTTGAGGGACACAGAACAGAGTGAAATGTTCCGACCTGTGAACAGTATTATTACCTCACATTCCAAGCTGCTCTCTGACTATTTGTAATAAACACATTATAAATACTTTGCGTCTCTGTTTGTTCTGTTCGGTTCACCGGGTTCAGCCCGCAGTGGGTCAGGCTTCCTGCCCCCCCACACACACACAGCAGGAGGCGCTTCCTGTGGATTACGACACTACTGTGACTCATGCCCCCCCCCAACAGGACCTGACGCCGAGTCACAGGAGGACCACAACAGAGACGCTCCAACGTGGAAGAACTCAGCAGGTGTGTTTACAGCACGAGGGCCTCTTCATCATCGTCATCATCGGAAGCAGCAGCCTGACAGGTGACGTCGACCCGGTTGTTCTGGTCGCGCTGGTTCTCATCAACGTTCATAATCATCTCTCTCTGTTCCCTCGGATCCTTTGACGGAGAAAAGAGAACACGAATCACGGCCACATTCCGTATTTTGCTCAGACATCTTCACTTCTTCATGGCGAGCTGTTTGTTTAGCATGTGTACATTAATTAATCCCGTCACGATCACATATTTACGTGTTGTTTCCCTTCATCCGGGGCTCAGAAGCTTCATTTCCCCCCTGAGCGTTAATCCACGCAGCACATGAACGCGTTAATCCGCGGATGTTTTGTGTTGTGATCAGGCACAGATGTTCTAGGAGGGGGGCTGAAACCAAAGTAAAAGGGCACCGATTGCCAGAACTGTTCATGAAATTAAAAATAATATTAATAAATAAATAAAAAACACGGTTGTTTTTTAATTCACATGATTCTTTTTGTTAAAAGTAACTCAATTTATCGAATTTAATAAATAAATGAATAACAGGCAAAAACTGACAAAACAATCCCGTATTGTCCTTAAGCAATAAGGCAGCACTTTATCGTTACTTACTGTTTCTGAAGCATAAGCAGCATTACAGTAATAATATAAACCTCACCAGACTGTCATGTAGCTCAACTTAAGACCTGACATTTAATAATTAATAACTAAATCAAACTGAACCAGTGAACTTCTATTATTTGTAAAAGGAATGAAAAGTCTCTGCCTCCCTGTGTCTCCCCCCCCCCTCTCTCCCCCCCCCCCTCTCTCTCTTTCTCTCTAAACAGCTGACTGAATGAAATGCCGTCCAGATGTCAAAACACATTTGGGAGGAATTGGTGAGAGAGAGTCATTTTTAGTCTTAAATATTAATGAATGAAGAAAAGATCGGGCTGCAGCAGAAGGGGGCAAAAGGGCCGGTGCTTGAGCCCCACCAGGGGTAACTTGAGCCCTCACTATGGCGAGAAGACACGTGAGGCCGAGGTGGAGGTGAGGCTCGATGATGACGAGGGTCGGAAACACGCGGCGAGGAAGAATCCACTCCAGAGAGGAGGATGTGAGGGCCGATGACTCTCGACAGATAATCCCACAGCATGAAGACGTAAACGCGAGGGATCGACCCCCCACAGCTGGTGGATGATGTCCCACCCGAATCAGACAATACTACCAACAATTTCTATTCCCTGTGCTGAAGAAACAGACCGTCAGTCTGAATGGGACGTGAACCCGGAGACGAGAGATGAGGGACGTTCATTTGTCTTCTAGTGAATCTAAACGGAGCCACAGGTGACGGAAACAACAGGCTGAACGCGTCTGTTTGTGGCTTCCGCCTCTTTCTTTATGACCGATATTACACCGTTATTACTGATTTATAACACTTTAAAGGAACAGTAAATACTTTGTGTATATATATAGCCATATATATATGGCTAGCCATAAATAAATATATATATATTTATCCTTAAATATAGTTTGTGTAATTGGATCACTAATTGGGTGACACTGGAGGTTACTCAGGGGCGTAGCCAGGTGGGACCAGCATGCACCTGGGTGACGAATGGTCTTTACCAGTGAGACAGAATTCCACTCAAATATCCAGCACAGCTAGGGGGCGCTACAGATATGAACGTCTAGAGATATGGAAACTCACTACGCCTTCAGAAATTTGTATTTATATGTAAATAAATAAATAAATGAGAGTCTCCAGATGTTTATCTTTAGAGATGAATATATTTTGTACGTAATAACCCAAATAATGTTGACTATATGTAACGTGATTATTATTATATTACGACCAAAGAACAGCATAAACATTATGCGTGTTAAATTACTTAAAGACGTTAATAGTAATAATAATAATAATAATAATAATAATAATAATAATAACTCCAAACAGCAGAAGACGCGATGGTTTCTGAGCACGACGTCAGACTCAAGTGACTCGCCTGGTTCTCCTGAACTTAAAGGGAAGGAGGAAGTAATTCATGTGTTGTTTCCCTCTCTCTCTTTGTGTGCCCCTTGGGGCCCCTCCCGAGGAGGGGGTGGAGGGGGAGGGGAGGGGAGAGGAGGGGGGCGTGTTGCCATTCCAGTGATCACATGTCAACACATGACCTCACGGCGCCTCCGTGTGTGTGACTGAGGCGTTTCCTCACAGCAGGAAGAAGGCCTGTGTGTCCTTGTGTGTGCGTGTGTGTGTGTGTGTGTGTGTGTGTGTGTGTGTGAGTGTGTGTGTGTGTGTGTGTGTGTGTGTGTGTGTGTGTGAGTGTGTGTGTGTGAGTGTGTGTGTGAGTGTGAGTGTGAGTGTGTGTGTGTGTGTGTGAGTGTGCGTGTCTGTGTGTGTGTGTGTGTGAGTGAGTGTGTGTGTGTGTGTGTGTGAGCATGTGTGTGTGTGTGTGTGTGTGAGTGTGTGTGTGTGTGTGAGTGTGTGTGTGTGTGTGTGTGTGTGTGTGTGTGAGTGTGTGTGTGTGTGCGTGTGTGTGTGTGTGTGTGTGTGTGTGAGTGTGTGTGTGTGTGCGTGTGCGTGTGCGTGTGTGTGTGTGAGTGTGAGTGTGTGTGTGTGTGTGTGTGTGTGTGTGCGTGTGTGTGTGTGTGTGTGTGTGTGTGAGTGTGAGTGTGTGTGTGTGTGTGTGTGTGTGTGCGTGTGTGTGTGTGTGTGTGTGTGTGAGTGTGAGTGTGTGTGTGTGTGTGCCTGCGTGTGTGTGCGTGTGGCAGCAGCAGAACTGGCAGAGACAGGAAGTGATGCTGTGATGCTGACAGATTGTGTAGGAGGTCTA